TTCAATAGATTTTATTACAAATGTGTTTAGAAAATTTAGTATTAAGATAATAACTTTTATAGTGCTTCTGACAAACATGCTTAAGCTACTATAAATTAATTCAAGAACTATATAATACTTATAACAAATATGTTAAAGTGATTATACAAGAAACAAGAATACTTTGTTAAAGAGATGTAGAAAGAAGTTTGTGCTTGACTATTTACTTTATATTAAGTGCAAATTTTACTTGTATAAATAATCAAAAATATATAATAACTAATTATAAGATAATAATTAAAAATATTAATATCAAAAACTTATTTCTAATCTAATTCTAATAATTATAATATATATTATTTTTATATATGTTCAAATTATATTTCATCAACTATACGAATTCACGTTCGCTAGTTCACTTAAATTCTATTGGTCTAATATTTATTTATTTATTTACTTATTTGTTTACTTGTTTGTTTATTTGCTCACTTATTTATTTATTTGTCTTATATAATTAGATTCTTTTAATAAGATATAAAATATTTATAATCCAATAATATTAAATATGAATGATCCAGTAAAATATTTGATCAAAGTTCATTATATAATAGGATTCTCGCTGTTAAGATTTTGCTTTGTAAAATTAAAATATTTAATTATCTTTTCTTTTAATTAATTACTAAATTTTTTTAATTATTTCTGAAATTAAATATTTGTTTATTCTATATGATCAAAGTATATTTTTGTGACTTTTGAAATATTAATAAAATCATAAAATTAATATATGTTTTGAAATAGTATTTACAATACTGATTTTATTTTTAAATAATTATCTAGATTCAAAATATTGTTTTCTAAATAACTTGTAATTACTAGTAAGATTTAACAGTATTCTTTCAATTTCGTAATAAATTGAAGATGTGATATATTTACTGTCTTTCAATAATTTTTTATAAATTTCTAATAATTCTTTTATTGTTGATAATTGTGGTGATTGTTCTGCTAATTGATTATCTTTGAAAGCATCTTTCTTCTATTATTGATAATCATAATGATTGTTCTGTTAATTAATTATCTTTGAAAGCATCTTTTATAACTTTAATTATATCTTCTTCTAAAGATGTCCTGGTTTTATTTATTCTTGTTAAATTTTCTTCATGTATTGGAATTTGTTGAATTATTTTTATTGAGCTTCCAAATAATTGTTCTAGTATTGTATCAATATCTGTTGTTGAGAGCAAATTTGATGTCATTTCTTTTTCAAAGCTGAAAAATTAAAAGAATCTATAGTACTTGTTGTTTTTGGCTGAGTTTCAATAATATTTGTTGAGAATTGGGATCCATCACTACTAATTTCTATTTGGATCTCTGAACATTGTTGTTGTACTTTAAAATATAATTCATTAACTAATGTAAAAAATTTCATCAGGGATATTTATAAAAGATATATTGAATAAGTAAAGAAATAAAATATACAACAGTAACTGGACAAAAATACTTGAAAAGCATCTTAAACCATTTTTAATGAATTGCCAGCTAGTTCTATTCATCTTTTTCAAGATGATAATGCTCCAGTTCACAGAAATAATCCAGTTAATGAATGGAAAGAGAGAAATCTAATAACTTCACTTCCATGGCCTGCTCAGAGTTCTGATCTAAATCCAATTGAGCATTTTGGAAAGACGAATTCGTGCATGACCAATTTATCCCAAAAATCAAGAATTGATGGATGCACTGCAGAGGAATGGGAAAAAATTGAACCGGAAATTTTGCTGAAAGTATGCCGAGAAGAGTGCAAGCTGTAATTGATGCAAATGGTTATCAACCCGATATTAAAATATATGTATGAATAGTCCTACCTTTGCCAAATAAAATGATATATTTTTATTGTAGTTTATTTAAAGAGAAGTCGAGTAATATTTATTAAAAGTCACCTGATTCCAAACTTTTGTCCACTGAGTGTACAAATTTTATAATATATTATATAAACAAACACACAGTTTTTATTAACTATTAAATAGATGTGGCACTGGGTACTACATGTAATTAATTATCGGTAGTATATTTGCTAATAAAGATTCCATACCATCACAAAGTACATAATGTAAAAAAATTTGTAGTATATAAATTATTTGCCGGGTAACCGGGTCAAAAAATTTACTTTGTGTGGCCTAATATGTAATTAAATGTTTGTATAGATTTTTTACATTTCAAAATATTGGATGATTTGCAAATGCTAACGCTTAGTCAAAATTCATATTCTCGACCAATTTGATTGGCTGGCGATCTAAAATTTAATTGACCAATGGAATTTTCTGAATCTAACGCTAATAAAACAATTCATTTTCTCTTGTATCCGTAACCTGATAAATTGTCCGACCTCTCTGCAATCTTCGCCAAAAAAGACCAACGGCCAACAAAACACTAAAGACACAAGCTATAGAACTTAATAGAAATACACGATTGAAACAATCGGGGCCAAAGCAAGCAGGTTCTTGGATTATATCTTTGTTGTAGGCAAAGATTGCGCAAAATAAATGACCACCAATTGGAATTGCCTAAGTAGAATTTATAGAAGTAATTACGTACGTAGATCAATTTGATTGATGAAAAACTGATTAACTTACATATGATAGGAAACCCCTAAATAAATAAAGTTTAGAAGAATCCTCTAAATTTGTATATAAGGATAGAAATAATAAAAAGTTACCAATTTAAGCCAAACTTTCTGATTCCAAACCATTCACTTGTAATAGTCGGCACAATACCAAACATACTTCCAAATCCAAACCCAATAATTGTACTCGCCAACCACAAATTTTCCAAGTTCGTCACAATAACACCTGCCATAAAATGTCCAATCGAAAGCCAAGTCCCTGCCAAGATCAAGAACCAAAGTCGTCGTAACTGGAAAACAGTCAGCATGAAATCAGAAAAGAATCCCGTCAAAAATCTTCCAACACAAGAAGAGATCGAGAGTAATGACACATGCAAATTTTGTAATTTTTGCATTTGTTCTAGTTCTTCAGTTGTTAATGAAGATTCTGGGTGTGAATTTAGAAATTTGATAACTGTTGACACATTGTTGAAGTACATTAGTCCCGGTCCACCGATTAGTAATACGATGAAAAACAAAACCCTGGCATCAGAGTTTGCAAAGAATTGAAAGCCACCGATTGCCGTATTGGAGTCAATGTATCCTCTTTCTATTAGTGGTGTTGTTTCTGATGGTGCAGCAGTAGTAGTAGAAAAGTAATAATTGGATGTAGTTGCAGAATATGAAGTCGATGTTACGGTAATATTTTTGGTATCATCTTTATCTTCGTTGTTAATATCTTGCTCCGATCTCTCTCTATATATTATTAATTTTGTTGCTGCTGTTATTGCAATTTCTTGATGTTGACTTCTTATATGAATTGATTGTTGCTCATTAATTTGATTCTGCGAGGAATCTGAAGGCATTGGAACAACCTTTAAAAAAAAACTCGCAATCAAATCGCCAATTCCTGTACTAAATGCCATAAATAATAGAAAGTGATAAACATTTGTTCGAAAAAAGAAATTTTCGATTTGTGAAAATACTAATGCAGAAAGTGCAAAACACGCCAATGGGACGCTCAGTGCTATTCCTTTTCGATGAGATAAATTTTTTACTTGGGTCGTAAGAGTCGCCATTAATCCTATGTGAGTTATAATAAATTAATAGATTGGACTATGATAAACATTGATTTATATAATTATACCTGCTGCCGAACCCATTCCAACCAATAATTGATATATAAGACATAACAGGAAATAAGGTGGAAGTGTCCCATTGTAGGTTAAGGCCATACATAAGAAGTTACTAAAGAAAAGAACTGAACCCAATAAAGTTGACCTTTAAAAAATTCAATAAAGGATTAATCCTCTCCTTTCTTTAAAAATATTCGGAAAACAGAAAACTGCCATACAATTTCGGACTATAATTATCTGCGATATATCCAAAGAATGGATTCGAAAAAAATAATCCATAGTTCCCAGCGATCGCAATTGTGTTTATTTGCATAGAAGAAAAATTCAGTCGTTCTGCATATGCTGGGCCATATGTAGAAAACAGATATGGAACCCCACTGATTAATGATAATAGTACGGCGGCTAGGAATGATGACGCGAGTTTTATGGTGTGTAATTGCATTATTAGAGACAGACATAAAATCAGAAATAGTTTGTATTTTTATAATCTCAAAATCGTGATTTTATAAATTTTATTTTTTATACGTCAGTGTTATGCAAGATGATGATTATCATTTTAAACATCGTTAAACAAGACATTGTCGTATCGTTGGGAACGAGAACAAGAAGTTACAAATGAGATTAATGTTAAAGGTTAAAATTAGCGTTAGAGTTAAAAATATATGTACAGTGGTCGTCATAAGTATCAAGAATTTAGTTTTTTAGGTACAACTTCACGAAAATTCATTCAAAACAAATGAAATTCCATATATATAAAATATATGATATGGAAAACAAGCTTATCTAATATCATAAATACACTTAAATTAATAAAATTTTGAGTAAAAATTGTGAATTGGAACATTTAAAAATTAAGAAGGATAACAAGATTCTAAAAAAATATTTTCACTAATCAATTT